GTAGATTCAAATTTGTTCAAATGATGACCCCCGGGGCTAGGGTGGGGCCAAAATGGCCGACCCAAGTTTAACATACGAATATATATAGGAAAAATCTTTTAAAATCTTCTTCTCCAGAACCACTAGGCCAGGAAAGATGAAACTCATGTGGAATCATCGTCAGGTAGTGTAGATTCAAATTTGTTCAAATGATGACCCCCAGGGCTAGGGTGGGGCCAAAATGGCCGACCCAAGTTTTACATAGGAATATATAGGAAAAATCTTAAAAAATCTTCTTCTGAAGAACCACTGGGCCAGGAAAGATGAAACTCATGTGGAATCATCCTCAGGTAGTGTAGATTGAAGTTTGTTCAAATCATGACCCCCAGGGCTAGGGTGGGGCCAAAATGGCCGACCCAAGTTTTACATAGGAATATATAGGAAAAATCTTTAAAAATCTTCTTCTCCAGAACCACTGGGCCAGGAAAGACGAAAATCATGTGGAATCATCCTCAGGTAGTGTAGATTCAAGTTTGTTCAAATGAAGACCCCCCCCAGGGCTAGGGTGGGGCCAAAATGGCCGACCCAAGTTTTACATAGGGATATATAGGAAAAATCTTTAAAAATCTTCTTCTCCAGAACCACTGGGCCAGGAAAGATGAAATTCATGTGGAATCATCCTCAGGTAGTGTAGATTCAAGTTTGTTCAAATGATGACCCCTGGGGCTAGGGTGGGGCCAAAATGGCCCACCCAAGTTTTACATAAGGATATATTGGGAAACCTTTTAAAATCTTCTTTTCAAGCACTTCAAAGCTATGATTAGTGTTATTTATATGGAATCATCCTCAGATAGTGTAGATTCTAGTTTGTTCAAATGATGAACGCCCTGGGGGGGGGGGGGGGGTTAAATTCAAGCCCGATGTGCTCAGGTGAGCGCTGTGGCCCCTGGGCCTCTTGTTTTTGAAAAATTTTACATGTTAATCTGGCTAGGATCTTTTTTTTTTTTGAAGGAAATAGTTCTTCAAAATCGTTGAATTAAAAATCTAAAAAAAAAAAAAAAAGAAAAGAAAAAAAAACTAAATATAGTTTATCTTTAAATACATCTTTTCTGATACGCTTCTCTCCTCATAATCCCTTGGCATACGGTGAAGTCAAAAGACGGGATTTTTTTCCGTTACGTGATCTCGAATCTATCAGGTACGCACTGATTGCGTCATCACCAGAAATAAAGACACGTGTTAAAAAAAATTAAAGTTCTTTCAAGAATAATTAAGAAGCAATAATTGAGTTATGTTTATTCATTATTTATAGAACAAATCTGAAGCTTCAATATAGATTCTTAATCACATATTTAGAAGATATTGGATGACATCATGGCTATTCATAGAATTGAATGTTATCTTACGGATCGTTGTTTACTTGCGTTTTTCATTTCCGAGATTAAAGAGTGAAGATGTATCCCGAACGCAAATATCGTCATTTACAAAAAACAATTGCTGATTGGTCGACCTGGGTGTACTGAAATCCAATCAGAACTCTGGAAAAAAAATCCCGATTTCTATGAACACCATAGCCCAAGGGTTTATGAGGAGAGTAGCGTATCAGAAACCCTCACTGTATACAAAGTGCTAATCGAAAATCTACTTGATTTGGATCACTAGCTATATTGCTTTGGGTACTCTGATGCATTATGGGTAAAAAAGAAAACTCTGCAAGCAAAAAATGGGTAAAAGTAACCTTAAGAAATTAGGAAACTTATTAAACCTTTGTAGAATCAATGTAAATATATTTGAGGAAATTTTTACGTTGAAACATGTTAGAAATTCAATACCGTTCTCATTTACTAAGTTAAAATGCTATTTTCACTCATTTTGAATTATTTCAATTGTTCTTAATTTTTTCAAAGTATATTCTGTTGTAAAAGTTATTGTATATAGGTTTTCTCCTCAATTCACCCACGAAACATCATCTGATTTCTATACATTACGCTTTTTTTGAGAAATTGAGCTATTCTTGTTTTGAGTGAATGCTATTATATGTTTGCAACATATTTTTGCGATTGCTATACTTTTTTCGGATCCTTTTTGTGATTTGTATGAAATCAAAATTTATTGATTTTTGATAAAATTATTGCGAATTTAATAGTTTTGAAAATATATTGGCATTCATAATCACAAGAGAAACATTTATCAGTCAAAAGAAGTTAAACAGAAATAAATAATTATAGAATTTGATGAAATGTGCAATCATTGCTGGTGTTTGTGCTATATTTGATTTGCATTTTGTCGCGATTGATACAGAAATGCTATGTTTGATTTGCATAGAGTACTTCTTGAGGAATGATGGCTTATATAGGGGAGGGGGATATAATCCAAAGACACTTTCTCAAATTTATGTCTTTAAATAACTTACAAAGTATTGATAAATACACGTTATATATTTTCACTAATGTTTTAAAGGTGTGTAAAAAGGAAAATAAAGGCTTCACAAACTACTAGTATTCAAACTCTCTCCAAAGCCCATGATAGGCGTGAGACTGAATGCGTTAACCACTATATACGCTACGGTGTCTTCTTGTTGGTTGTGTGTCAGTTTGCTTTAAAAAAAAAAGTGAATTGTTGAGACAAAAAATATTTTTCCTCCTATTATTTAATTTATCCTGGTTCGTTTTTTTTTTTTTTGGCTTGCTTCTTTCACCCAACTGTTAGACCTTTGTTTTTATACTAAATTTGTCCACGAAATGCTCCGTTTACTTGATCAACACATAGGGCTCACGGCGGATGTGACCGATCAACAAGGGATGCTTTCTCCTCCTAGGTACCTCTTCCCATTTCTGGTATTCCGGGGGTCCGTATTTATGCCCTGCTCACATATTTGTATTTGTAAATTTTTCGACATAAATCAATGCTCATTATCCTCACTTTTTTAACATTCCAGAAATATTCGACTTTTAAATAGAATGGGTCCAGACTCCATTTAGAAAAAACACATTGGGTTTACTTTTCCGTAATATAAGCACAGAATTTAGGATAAAAACCTGACCCATTCATATTCAGAAATAAATTCTTATGGCTGGAATGGTTAAATATTAACGTACCCATTTACCACTAAATAAGTTTAAAAAACAATTTTCAGTCAACATTTCTTACAGTACGGTACTATTATATGAATCAAATATGTTGAAGATGACATTACCGACAACATAAATTGTAGAAAAATCAATTTTTTTCGTCATAGAGCGGGTGATTGTCCTCGCCTTATACACTTTCTCTCTCTCTTTTATAAATCTATGATAACGAGATTATAATGCAACTTTAGTAATATTTCACCTATTTTCACACTATCATCAGATATCAGAACTGAAAGCTAAGAATCTGAAACAGAGTCTATGAAAATTAAAGAAATTCATGAAATATATAGTTATGGAAATTAATTGATTATCAGGGATATGCTTTGATTTTTATGAAAAAAGATCCAAGCATTTCACGCTTATTTGGCTGAATTGAAATTTGTAAATGAACGAAGCGGCATTAAGATTTGAAGCTGAATGCGTTTTAATCATTGTGTTTTCTTATCAAAACTTTGAATGCATATATATACATGTACCACTAAATATTTACAAAACTATGTGTATATATCAAGTCAATTGTTAAGTTGCATTAAAGTTTTTTCTTTGGTATGTTTTGTTAATGAATGACTGTCATAAGTTAATTGCTGGAAAAAATGAGAATATCGGTATATATGGAAGAATGTAGCTTGTCAACCAATTAAGCCGACCCCTTCCCCAACCATAAATTAGGGTTTTTGTGTCAGGATCTTTAAATGTTATGGACAACAATGTAATCCCCTCCCCCTCCCAAAGAAATTTATGCTGGATCCATCCTTTATTCCGGAATTTAAAACAAATGGAACTAAACATATTGATTAACGAAATAAAAACGTCTTTAGAGTTGTTTCCATTAGAAAATAAAAAGATACTTTCACGAAAGGCCACACTACTTTTTCTATAATTTATACAAATACATATGTATCACACTCAGTGACTGAGCATAAAACGCCCAAGTTGAGCATATGACACATGGACCTCCTATGGACTGGGCCAAATTTGAAATGTAAGAGGAGTCTGGGGAAGAAAATATTGTACAAGACTGTTGTAAACACAAGGTAACGTCAATAAATTATTTCACTAATTGCACTAGGTCTAATTGCTATATGTATACTCGAAAAAAGTATAGCTGTCATGACAACAAAGATAGCCTTCTGGATATTTTCTACGCAAACCAAAAATAGCTCCGGAAAAGTTGGGTAGGTGCATATTTGATGTGATTGTCAAGATATAACGAAGACCTTGTGGTCAAATTTGATAGCTAACGTTTGATTAGGATTTATATTAAACAAAACAATAAATATTTTATTAAAGTAATGTCAAGAGTCCATTCAAGTGGCAAATTAGTCGAAAAATGACCATCAGATGCGTGAAAAACGCGTGCTACCGATGTTTAAGGAAGGGTGGGTGACACAAAAACCTAACAATCTTTAAATATACCAAGAAGAAGTCTCATATTGGTTGAAGTAGTTTTATTATTAGTAAAAAACCGTATATAAAAGACATTTTTTGTCTAAATGTGCAGACTGAAACTTCGAATGATCCAAACAAATATAGCTAGTGACCCAAATCAAGTAGATTTTCGATTAGCACTTTGTATACAGCGCCCTTGGCTAGCGAAGATGCTTTAAATATGGGTATTTGGAAAATTTAGAATTTATAATGTCAAAATATTTATAAAACTAAAATTCTTTTTTTTAGAAAAAAGTCTGAAAGGGGAGGGGGCGTCCAGATTGATACATCTTAAATACCTATTCAACGTAGTTAATGTCGAATTAAAGGATTTCATGCTAAATTCTTAAAACATCTTACACATGCTTACATGGGTATAGATGCAACACAAATTTCAAACTGCCTATTTACCAAATAAAAGTCAAGACAACTACAAAAAAAAACCACACAAAAAAAAAACAGTTCTTGCATTTTAAGTCTCGTACATCTCAGGTCTTATTGACCTCACTTGTTTTTCCCTCTGTCAGGTTATCTAAGTGGACTGCGTGGTCGTATGTCGGGTCCGGCGAGACTTTGTGATCTGTTTTAGTTGTAACATCGTATAAGGGATTTTCTGTATCACATATTGTACTTGAATGATCGTAAATGTTTTCTTTCTGTTCAATAGTGATATCTTTCTCCCAGAGATGATTATATACGTCTGTTGATTCTGATACCTTTATACCTTTGGCTTTTTCATACACCCCTTTCTTTTCCCCTGTAATATCCCCGTGTGATTTTGGTATGTGTACTGTGTCCAATGTAACCGAGTCAGAGTGGAGGCTACATAATTTTGAATTGTCTGCAATTTCGTAAAGTTCGGTGTTGGCAACAAAATGTGCCGGTAACTGCTTGCTTTCTGCTGTTGATACAACATCCAAATTTCGTCTTTTCTGACGTTTCTTCCTGTTTTTATTTAAAACCATCATTTAAATTTAAACATGCCTAAATCTTTTTTTAAATCATGAATAAAAACAAGTAGATAATATAAGAAATAAACCCCCAAACCTCTCACCTGCAATATAAGAAACAAACGACAACGATGATGACAGCCAGCGCTAATGGGACACTGTAAACGACTGGTGTTATTTCTGAAGAGGCTATAATTATGTAAAGGTTGCAATAAATATAAAAGAAAAAATGATTCATTATAGGCAACAGTCCTTTAGAATGATTTTAAAAATTGTCAGGAAAATTCTGAAGAAAATAATTTGGATCCTTTCATTGCAGCAAAGTAGTTTGTCAATAGTCAATTGTTAACATATATACTTTTGTTCGAGCAGACTACAACATGTACAAGTTTTCTTTACCTTTTGTTGTTGCCTGGGTTGAGGATGATCCTAGCTGTGTTACTTTAGTCGATACGTCTATAATATGCAGACATAAACATATTTTATTCTTGTTTGAAGGCGGATTTACATTAGGATTTCGAATATTTTTTTTAATTTAAATTGATGCCCTAGCTGTAACAACCATTTACTTTTCTTGATATACCGGTATTCTAAAGCATTGAGCTTATATTAATTTTGTAAAAATAAATAACATGGTTTGTATCTACCTTGAGTATAACTTAATGAATATGTATTTCTATGTGATTCAGACGAATAGAGGGCATCATTTGGCATTCTGCTACTTTCCTCCAATGCTATGGTCGATGTGTCTAAATAAATATTCTGATAACTCGTCATTAAAGCTTTGTTATCTCGGCTAGTAGTTTCGACTTTACTAATTGTCTCTCCTTCTGAAGCCTACAATAATAGAAATAAAGCAAAAGTGTTTGAGTATTAAGGAACCAAAGAGATGAGATCAGAGGTGCCATGAAGGAGTGAACATCCCCTGCCGACCGATCACACCCGCCGTGTGCTCCTTGTCATAATCGGGAAATAATGGGAAAATTCGTCGACAAATCAGTGTGTATATAATGGCCTATGATAATAAGTATCAAAAACGTCAGTCAGCATTTGACTCAATGATAAATTGTATTTGCCGACAAATTCATTGTATCGACCATAGAATTTACGATTGATGACTTTAAACGAGACTGCCAATTTCATCAACATGTTTGATAGTAACTTACACCGTTTTAGAAATTGAACATTTGTCCGTCTGTAAACTTCACATTTTAAACTTCTTCTCAAGAACCACTAGGCTAGTTTTAATCAAAGTTGGTACAATTAGCATTCTTGGGTATTTATAGTTTTTAGTAGAATTAATAAAAATAAAGATCTTGCTGTCGTGAATGATGCAGGATTCCTCTGTCTCGAAATGTTGTTTGATCATGAAATACCGGTATATATAGAAGCCTCAGTTATTATATTTGTCGACCTCCGAGGTTATCCTGCAATGTTTACGAAAACGAGAACTTTATTTCTTAAATAACATATTCCATGTATTCGTGATAACAAGATAACTAAGTCGTTATAATATGAGGCGCCGTTTTTAGCTCTACTGCTCAGAGACTAGAAGAGCTTATGCGATAGTAATGCGTCCGTCGTCCGTCCATCTGTCTAGCTGTCTGTCTGTAAACAATTTTTCAAAATGCTACTCCTCCTACAGTTTTGGTCCGATTTTAATATAACTTGGCACACAAGTAGACTACACTAAGATACATAATTCTGTGCATCGGTTTTTATTTTGACGAGTGGCAAGGATCATTTTTCTATTCATTGCTGATTTAAAGTCTCAAGTCCCAACTGCTACTTTTCTCTTCCTTTGTTTTAAGTATAAACCAGTAGAGCTACAGTCTCTACAGAGACTTCTGGTTGTATTTACTTGAAAAAAGTGATATCATCTATTTGAATAGGCGATATAACTTATTCGAATAGGTGATATCACCTATTCGAATTGGTGATATCACCTTTTGGAAGAAGATAGGTGATATCACCAATTCTAATTAGTGATATCACCTATTCGAATAAGTGATATCACCTATTCTTGCTGAATAGGTGATATCACCAATTCGAATAAGTGATATCACCTGTTCGAATAGGTGATATCACCTTTTCAATTTGAATTGGTGATATTACCAATTCGAATAGGTGATATCACCTATTTGAATTTCTTACAACAATAAATAATGAATTCTCCCTATGATATATAGATTACCACTGGAACCAAGAAAAATCGGACTACCCAGTTTTCATGCGTTTTTCCAATTTTTTTTTAAAGTTTACATGATAGATAAGTGAAATAAATTAATTTGTGAGGAAAACAAACTTCAATTTCTATTGGGGCTGATTAAAATTAAATGCAAAACTGTAATCTATTGTCTCCTAGAATGATGACTTATAAAACAAAAGTGTAAGTATATATGATTTAGGGACCTATAGTCTTGGGAGCTGTTGTTATTTCATAAATAATTTGAATAGGTGATATCATCTACTAGTATTCAAAATGATATGATGATATCACATATTCGAAAAGGTGATATCACCTATGCAATTTGAATAGGTGATATCACTTACCGGTATTCGAATAAGTGATATCACCTATTTGAAATGAATAGGTGATATGACCTATTCGAATTAGTGATATCACCTATTCAAATAAGTGATATCACCTTTTCGAATAGGTGATATCACCAATTCAAATTAAAATAGATGATATCACCTATTTGAATAGGTGATATCACTTATTCGAATAGGTGATATCACCTATTCAATATGTGATATCACATATTCAATAGGTGATATCACTTTTTTGCAGTAAATACCAAAACGGCGCCTCATATTATAACAAGATAAGTTGTTATAACTAGATAACAAGTGGAGACTCTAGAGAGAAATATATACTCGTAAAACTAGATTCTTTCTCGTACACCAATATACGTGTTATATTATACACCTATTTACTGGCTATGAGGACAATAGCAAGTTTATCGTCCCCCAAGACAGCAAACTATTTCCCGAGGCGCAGCCGAGGGAAATAGTTTGCTGTCGAGGGGGACTCTTACCTGTCCTGTACAGTTCAAGTGAGCTTTTGAAATATTTGGAATAAATGTTTCATATTTTCTTCTTTTTTGTTTTATTTTATGGTGTTAATTTTTGTATTATTAAGCAAATAGATTATGCAGTTATTTATTTACTAATTAAACAGATTACATTTTATCGAGTGTTGTTTTCTATATGTAAAATTGATATTTATGTTTCCGTACGTCCTTATCACTCTCATTTAAGTTCAATTTTTAAACTATTTTCTCATTTAAATGTTCTTTTTTTGTAATATTCTTTTCTTTAGTTTTCATATTTATTTACGATTCTTTGAATATTCTATATTGATGAATAAGTATTTCCCTGATGTTGATAGCTTAAAATCATTTTTTTTTCTCTAAAAAAATAACTAATTCGTTTATTTTAGTTAACGTTAAATCGGTGTTTAATGCATTAAAAACAAAACACTGACATGGTTTTCTTATCAACGATGATAAAAAAAACATTCCAGAAATAATATAAACCACCGGGTTTCTTCTTATCGTTAGAGGCATCTCATAAATATTCATAAATACGCTAGGCCCGTGATATTTAGACTCAACCGTCAAAATCATGTCGACTTTCGCGAGATTTAAAACGAAAGTAGAATGGTAAATGAATACCGATCCCGATTAGAATTAAGACGAAGAAAAACAGAAATAACAAGCTAATTAAGAGAATTTGTGTCCCCCGCTTAAGGAAAAAGTAAAACATGCGCAGTTCGGGGGGAGCCGGGGGGGGGGGGGGGAGTTGGATCCCCCTCACTGAATTTGTAGAATTATTAAATGTATACATGCATTTATACTGAAGCAAATAAAATATACCATAATGGATATAAAGATTTAGTTGCTTATTCTTTATTATGTGTATAGAAGATTCTTTTTATGTGGAATATTTATCACACTGTAATGATGATTTTATGAGTTTGTACAAGCCAGACCTCGTAAATTTTTCATTTCACGTGCTGAATACTATTATTTAGTAAAAAAAAGTATTTCAAAAAAAAAAAACCAGAAGTCTCTGTCGAGACTGTAGCTCTACTGGTTTGTACTTATCAAAAACTATTGCACTATTTTAAGTTTCTTTGTGTAGTCTACTTGTGTGCCAACTTATTTTAAAATCAAACTAAAACTGTAGAAGGAGTAGCGTTTTAAAGGAATTTCACGGAAAATTCTATTTCTAGTAACCATGGCAACACCATTCATTGAAATCAAAAACTTATGCACTATTCTTTGTATCTTAGTGTAGTCTACTTGTGTGCCAAGATATACTGAAATTAGACCAAAACTGTAGAAGGAGTAGCATTTCAAAGGAATTTCACAGAAAATTCTATTTTTAGTAACCATGGCAACATCGTTCATCGAAATCAAAAACAGATGCACTATTCTATGTATCTTAGTGTAGTGTACTTGTGTGCCAAGTTATATTGAAATCAGACCAAAGCTGTAGAAGGAGTAGCGTTTCAAAGGAATTTCACAGAAAATTCAATTTTTAGTAACCATGGCAACACCGTTCATCGAAATCAAAAACCAATGCACTATTCTATGTATCTTACTGTAGTTTACTTGTGTGCCAAGTTAAATTGAAATCAGACCAAAACTGTAGAAGGAGTAGTGTTTTAAAGGAATTTCACAGAGAATTCTATTTTTAGTAACCATGGCAACAACGTTCACCAAAATCAAAAACCGATGCACTAGTCTATGTATCTTAGTGTAGTCTACTTGTGTGCCAAGTTATATTGAAATCAGACCAAAACTGTAGAAGGAGTAGCGTTTTAAAGGAATTTCACAGAAAATTCTATTTTTAGTAACCATGGAAACACCGTTCACCGAAATCAAAAACCATTGCACTATTCTATGTATCTTAGTGTAGTCTACTTGTGTGCCAAGTTAAATTGAAATCAGACCAAAACTGTAGAAGGAGTAGCGTTTTAAAGGAATTTCACAGAAAATTCTATTTTTAGTAACCATGGCAACACCGTTCACCGAAATCAAAAACCATTGCACTATTCTATGTATCTTAGTGTAGTCTACTTGTGTGCCAAGTTATATTGAAATCAGACCAAAACTGTAGAAGGAGTAGCGTTTTAAAGGAATTTCACAGAAAATTCTATTTTTAGTAACTATGGCAACACCGTTCATCGAAATCAAAAACCGAGGCATTATTCTATGTATCTTAGTGTAGTCTACTTGTGTGCCAAGTTATATTGAAATCAGACCAAAACTGTAGAAGGAGTAGCGTTTTTAAGGAATTTCACAGAAAATTCTATTTTTAGTAACTATGGCAACACCGTTCATCGAAATCAAAAACCGAGGCATTATTCTATGTATCTTAGTGTAGTCTACTTGTGTGCCAAGTAATATTGAAATCAGACTAAAATTGTAGGAGGAGTAGCGTTTTGAAATATTGTTTACAGACAGACGGACAGACAGACAGACAGACAGACGGACGGACGCCGGACGCATTACTATCGCATAAGCTCTTCTGGTCTCTGACAAGTAGAGCTAATAAGTTGCCGTCTGGGTATTGAACGCGGGACCCCTCAGATTGGAAGCGAGAAACATACCACTAGACCACGGACTCGCTTTACATGGAGTCGAGTACATATGTATATGCAGAAGTGAAGTCACATATATGTATATATTCATGTTCGGTATTGTGAAAATTTTACACAATTCATGGTTTTTGATTTATTTAGCCTTTATTAAACAGTTCTAATAGATGTAATAAGAACATAAAGTCCGCCGAGAACCTGATTTATACGCAGTAACTCTCCTCATGCCCCTTTGCTAAAAATAGCGACATATAATACTGTAAATACTAATAAAACAAACGGGGTGGGGCACTTTGAGAGGGGTGAGGGAGGTCCTAGGGAGTTTTTGTATAAAATTACATTGAATAAGCTCAAAATCTTCTTGAAATATCGCCCGGAAAATGATAGTGTTACACACAGACAGAATGTATAAATTTACGACCTTGAACTTTGACCTTTTGACCTCAAAATCAATAGAGGTCTTTATTAGGCCACAGGGAGTTGTTATGTAAAATTTCATTGCAATAGCTCAAATGGTTCTAGAGATATCGTGTGGAAACGAAAGTATTATAACAGACAGAATTTCCTTATTTATGACCTTGACCTTTGACCTCTTGACCTCAAAATCAATAGGATTCTTCTTTAGTCCATAAGGAGTTGCTATGCTAAATTTCATTGCAAAAGCTCAAAGGGTTCTCGAGATATCGTGTGGAAACGGAAGCGTTACAGACAGACAGAAAGACAGACGGATGGACGGACAGACGGACGGACGGACAAACCCAAATTAATATCCCCCACTTTTCAAGCGGGGGACAAAAAGAATCGAGACGGGGGTATAAAACCGGGGCGGGCGGGGATGAGAATCTAAGAAAATATTTATTATGGCCTTATTATACTCATGACATATTGAACATGTTGAATACAGCAGTATATTTCGTAAATATGTTATCAATGAAGCTCCTTTAATCTTTTGTCATTTTTCTTCTTCTGCTGAGAAGTTGCTACACATAAGTGGATGTGCTATAAATAGAAAAGAGTAATCTATGTTTAGACCATTGTTGCTTTAAAATGAAGCAAGAATCCATTCGCAATATTGTACTATGTAGCATTATTGTACAAACATGTGCATTCTGAAAGCATATTGTCGAAAGCTTTATATTTGTTAAGACTTTTTATATGAAGCTTCCAATTAGAACAAAAATGCCATTTTTCCTAATATTCAGACATCTCTATATTTAGCCACCTGATACTAAAAATAGAAATGGGAATCCCCCTCAACCATTATTCATACCTGGCCAGCTAGTGGTGTCCAGATCTTGTCAATAACATCTCAAATTTTACAAAATATTTCCTAATTATGCAGCAATTACATCTAAAATGTGCTTGAAAATGTGCAATAATTTACATTTTCTCAATTATTCGAATAATCTATTTTTAGACCATTGTTGATATGAAATGAAAGAAGAGTTCATCCTCAATATTGTGGCAATTATTGTACAAACACATGTACATTCTTAAAGCATATTATAGAAAACTTTATATTTGTTAGGACTTTTTATATGAAGCTTCAAATTAGAACAAAAATGCCATTTTTCCTAATATTCAGAGACATCTCTATATTTAGCCACCTGATACTAAAAATAGAAATGGGAATTCCCTTCAACAATTATCCATACCACCTACTGGTATCCAGATTTTGTCATTAGCATCTAAAACTTTACAAAATATTTCCCAACTATGCAGCAACTACATCTAAATGTGCCTGAAAGGGTGCAATAATTTACATTTTCTCAAATTATTCGAGTAATCTATTTTTAGACCATTGTTGCCATAAAATGATACAAGAGTCCATCCTCAATGTTGTGGCAATTATTGTACAAACACATGTACATTCTGAAAGCATATCATGGAAAGCTTTATATTTGTTAAGACTTTTTATATGAAGCTCCCAATTAGAACAAAAATGCCATTTTTCCTAATATTCAGAGACATCTCTATATTTAGCCACCTGATACTAAAAATAGAAATGAGAATTCCCCTCATCAATTATCCATACCTGCTAGTGGTATCCAGCTCTTGTCATTTACATCTAAAATTTTACAAAATATTTCCTAATTATGCAGGAACTACATCTAAAAATTGCCTGAAAAGATGCAATAATCTATATTTTCTTAATTATTCGAGTAATCTATTTTTAGATCAGTGTTGCCATTAAATGAAACAAGAGTCCATCCTCAATACTGAAGCAATTTTTGAACAAACACATGTACATTCTGAAAGCATATTGTAGAAAGCTTTATATTTGTTAGGACTTTTTATATGAAGCTACCAATTAGAACAAAAATGCCATTTTTCCTAATATTCAGAGACATCTCTATATATAGCCACCTGTTACTAAAAATAGAAATGGGAATTCCCCTCAACCGTTGTCCATACCAGCTAGTGGTGTCCAGCTCTTGTCATTAGAATCTCAATTTTTACAACATACGTTCTAATTATGCAGTAATGACAATTAAAACTTTGCCAAAATTTGATTTTTCACATTTTTCTAAAATATATCTATATAAAGATACATGTTACTAAAAATAGGAGCAAAAGCCCACTTATGTTTTTTCATGAAATGACACTACTTATTCCCAAGTATGATAACCCATGCAAGATTTGGGAAATTTCCGCGGACAATTTTTCTTATTTAGCCTCAAAGATCTCAAAAAATTCCAAATTTCCCATTTTTCAATTTTTTAGAAACCATATCAGTTTGCATGACCTTTTTCTTACAGGAAGAATTTTTAGAATAAACTATTATATGCTCTGTGTACCTCAAAAGGTCATGATATCATATGATCTAATGATTTTTGTTAGAGTCTATTAGATACCGATAAATTTTCATTTACATTTCCTCAATTTTCATGTTTTCATTTAGTCAAAATGGGCCAAAAATGGCCGAATTCAATGGATCCGTCTCCATGGCAACCAAGTGCACGTGTGGAACTTCCGACACCATATTTACTAGTTTTGTACCAAGACACACCTATGGTGAAAATTTCATCAAAATCCGAGACATGTCGTTTCCAAGCCCTATAGTAAATTCGTTGGTGCTTACAGAGAATGCGTGTTAAAACTTTAAATTTTTTGGCGGGTTTGATTGACACATCCTTGCACTTTCACAAATTTTAACTTTATTCTTAATCTTTTGGAAAAGTGGCAATCCTGATGTGTATTAATGAAAAATATTAATACTATAATCTAGAAAATTCAGAGTAGACAAGTACTAAAGCAAAGCAAACACACAATATATTGTCAGACCGTGCAGATGTGGTGAACTGACTTTGGGGATTTAACGCACCCGATGAATCGTAAACACCAAACAATAACATGTTTACAAAAACCGGTGTACATAAAGGCCGGTATACACAGTAAGATTTGTATTATAAGATTTGTATTATAATACAAAATCTTACTGTGTATACACTCTTAATACAGTGTATCATAAGATTTTTCGAATCTTATAAAACTGTACTAAGAATAGAGCAATGCTCTATTTCCTAATACAAGTCTTAACTCACCTTTCACTTTCAACCAATCAAATGTACTCACATTGGGGGTCATACTATTTATATCATTACTAAATAAAGCACATGGAAAATAATAATGGCCGACTTTTCGAGTAAAGATATCGAAAAACTCGTGGTTTTATGGGAAGCGGAAGAGGACTTGTGGAATATATCAAGCTGTAGCTACCACAAAAAAGATGCTAGAAGAAGAGCTTATTATTATCATTTATATTATTTTGACAGAGAGAGAAATATGGCAGGAGAAAACACGTGGGAATAATAGTTTATTTACAATCTTATAAGATATGTATTAGCGTGTGTACAAGAAAGTATTACAATACAAAAGTATTATAATACTTGTATTATACTACAAATCTCATCGTGTATACCGGCCTTAACACGAGTGTGATCGATTCGCAAAACTCTGTACACAACGGAATGACGATACTTGTGAAGTAGTTCTGCTTTCTAACATTTCTACTCAGAATAAAATTATTCTTCTTGATTTAAGTTTTAATATTTCTCATTAATACACATCAGGATTGCCACTTTTCCTAAGGATTAAGAATAAAGTTAAAATTTGTGAAAGTGCAAGGATGTGTCAATCAAACCCGCCAAAAAATTTAAAGTTTTAATAACTTTTAAATGAAATAAGATTTTTAATTAATTTTTGTGTGAAATGCTATTAAAATATATTATTCGTGATATTATACAGAAAAAATGAGAAAATGTTAACTTCGAATCTGTGTCCAAGTACCTTTAAGTATAGTTTACGGTTGTGAAACATAGATTATCGCGTTAACTATGATTTATAGATGTAAAATATAGATTAACGTTGTTAACTATAGTTTTCAGTCCGTAAACTATAGTTTACAACCGATAAACCTAGTTTATCGACTGTGAAACTATGTTTAGCTCATTTTTGTGAATTTGGCGTGCCATATATTAACTTTAATTTAAATTCTTTAAAAAATCCTCAAAAATCAAAATTTCCGACTCTTTTAGAAAATAGATATTTGAAATAATTTACCACATAGGCTTTTTATTTTATTTAATTCAGATACTTTTAATGCTACATATAATAGCACAAAATCACGAATTTAAATTGACTTACGGATTCACAGAATGCTCGTCTTGATTCACTGCAGTCTTCTAATGTGCATTCCTCGCCACAACTTTGGCATTTTATATCCTTGGTAAGATTTTTTAAATCTGAAAATCAACTGAAAACATTAGATTGTATTGTGTATTTTACTTTTACAAAATCCCAGCACCTATTTTTTTTAAAGACAGATACAGAAAAAGCGACGGATTTTATAAACATTTGATAAATAAGATAATACTGAATGACCTTTACCATCTTTGTATTCTAATTCAAATGTTGAGGACCGAATTCCAAGCCACAAAGGACCACTAAATGAGATGTTATAATTCGTGCAAAAATTTGTTGACGCTGGGTTTACATGTAAGTCTATGTCAGCCTTTAGATAGTTAGCATACGTTGAGTGTTGCACACATCCCTGCGAAGCTTCATCCCATGAGTAATTTCCCATAAGAACTTCAAAATATAATACATATTAATATTAATCAATAAATACTTTTTAATACTGGTTTGCATCAAAGAATAGCAATGTAAACCTACTCCGCCTACATGTATATACATGTATGCATCTGATTACACCTCAGTGATATCTAGGGTTCCGTGTTAATGCCCTATTGTCTTTACATTTTTTTTAGATTGATCACTGCAATCTCCATCTTTTCACTCCAGCTAGATATGAACTGTTTTTACAATTTATAGTTTGGGAATTTTTTTTAAAAAATCAACGTAACGAACAGTGATCATTCACAAAACAATACAATGTGAACAAGGCAATCACGAAAAAAAACTCCATATTAATGTGATATCTGTATATACTAAAATATGTATCGTATAAGGAAAATTTGACGCCGAAAAGCTGAAGTCATCTGGATATTTTTGTTTGTTTCTTTGTTAAACGTCCCCTCAAGAATTCTTCATTCAAATTGAGACTCCATCGCTTCTCGGTGGAGGGTTTGCCTTGGAGTGCTTCAAATTTAGCTGCATTTACAGCCTTTGAGCAGTGAGGATCTTTGTCATGCCCCCACGTGTAACACGAGATGTCGGTCTCATCCACAGCTAGGACTGGTCTCACGTAGTGTGTCGAACCACTGTACCACGGGCGACTGTTATACAATGAATAAGCTTAAGAATACGTACGATAATCAATCTTAGGAAACTTTAAAAGAAATACTAGTAATAATAAAAAAATAAATCTGTAAACATAAAGCATAAAACAGGGACCCCTACTAATCTCGAAGGCGGGATCAGGGTGCCTGGGAGAAGTGAGTCATACCCTGATCCCACCTATGATGTTTATAGAGGTCCATATTTGCTCTGCTCTAAAATTTGAATTGTTTAATAGAATTTTGAGCTCGAATACTGTTCGCTATCTCCATGTATTTCATCACATGATCATAATAACGACCATAGATATGGCACGCCAAATTCACAAAAATGAGCTAAACCTAGTTTCACAATTGATAAACTAGGTTTATTGACTGTAAACTATAGTTTACAAACCGTAAACTATAGTTAACGATTCGTTAAGTATAGTTTTCATCTGTAAAACTATATTTAACGGTTGTTAACTATAGTTTACGAATGCTAATCTAAGTTTATCTGTTTGAAATAAGCGTTAACAATAGATTTTGTTGATAAACATAGATTCACGTTTGTAAACTATAGTTTACAATCGTAAAGTATAGTTAAGAGTTGTTAATCATAGTTTCACAAATCGTGAAACTATATTTATCAGATCGTTAACTATAGTTAACGGTTTGTAAACTACAGTTTACAAATTGTGAAACTGTATTTATCAGATTATATATGTTTTGCAATAGCAAATGATTGTTTTTGGTGTTAAGCATAGTTTACGCTTGTGAAACATAGATTATCGCGTTAACTATGGTTTACAGATGTAAAATATAGATTAACGTTGTTAACTATAATTTACAACCGATAAACCTAGTTTATCGATTGTGAAACTATGATTAACTCATTTTTGTGAATTTGGCGTGTCATACATAGAATTTACAAAATGCTGACTATATTTCAGGTTGTTGGAATCTCTGTATGCATGACAAAAGCTATTATTAATCGATAAAATATCGATGTATCTAAATGTCGAGTTGAAGCTACAGCAATTGTTTTCTCTTTCTTATGAAGGCTTATAAATAAATTCTGCTGCATAGTAATATAACAAGAGGTTTATATAAGAAACAGTGAGTGTCCATCAAAATTCCAGCCATTTGTTGGAAGACCTGGTTTCTGAAGACTACATAAATGCTGACAATAAGAAAGCCCACATCTTAATGTAATGTTTATATATCTACTGTAGATTTTGTGTAGAATAAGAATATTTCATAACACAGACGAAGGAGGAGTTTGTGTGTTTGTAATGGTAAAAGATTGTTCTTTTTATATGAATAAAAATTAATTCCGTAGATTGAGTTATTTTTCCATGAAATTTCGAAAATGTCTTATGATTCAAGACATTTTATTTACATGACAAACACTGGATTATAAAGATGAATTTGATATTTTATAAACTAAAAATACATTTAAAATCGAATTAGATTTACAGATAAGGAAAAAAAGATGAGAGATTTTCATAGGTGGTTTTCTGATTTTAACACTTGATGTAAAGTCTATTGTATTTCTATTAAATTAAACGATTCTCATTGAGAACAAAACCTACATATGTAGGTTTTACCTGGATATTACCTTTGTTTGTACATAGTGCATTCCCAAAAGACCCGCAGTCAGCCATTGTAAATATCTCTTCCTTGTCACAAAATATAAGCACACACAAAAGCTCTTGATCTGATTCTTCAACTATGAAAACATAGAAATACTTTATTCAGTAAGAATAGTCGTATAATATTTAGTCTCGGTTCAGAGAGAAATAAAAGAAACGTTCAAACTTGAATTTTAGAAAGCTAATTCAGAGAATTTGTGTCTCCCCCTTAGGAAAAAAAGACCATTCGCATTTTGGGCTTCAGATCCCCCCTGGATTTGTAAAATTATTAAATGTATACATGCATATTGAAGCAAATAAAAATGCCAATATGGATATAAATATTTGATTGCTTATTCTTTACTATGTGTTTAGAAAATTTTTATATAGAATATCTATCACACTGTAATGATGATTTGTACAAGCCCGACGTCATAACTTTTTCATTTCACATACTGAATACTATCATTACGTAAATTAATTTTTAAAAAAAAGTATTTAAAAAATGGATCGTATGGGATTCGAATCCGGGACCTCTCACATGTTAATTGAGAGTCATACCCTATACCACGGACCCACTTGCTTCTTAATAGCAAATTATATGCAAACATTAGGTAACATACATTTATTTATTAACGTTAGATATTGTCAAAATTTTACACAATACATGGTGTCTAATTTAGCTTTTACAAAACAGTTCTGATAGATATAGAATATAATGTCCGCCGACAACCTGTATTATACGTAATAACTCTCCACATACCCCTTGTGCTAAAAATAAGAGACTTTTAATACAATAAAATCGGGGCGGGACACTTTGAGAGGGATGAAAGAGGCCCTATAGGGAGTTTTGGGATAAAATTTCATTGCAAATCTTCTTGAGATATCGCCCGGAAACGAAAGTGTTACACACAGACGGAATGTTTAAATTTACTACCTTGAACTTTGACCTTTTGACCTCAAAATCAAGGGTCTTCCTTAGACCACAGGGATTTGTTATGTAAAATTTCATTGCAAATGCTCAGAGGATTTTCGAGATATCACGCGGAAATAAGTGTTAAAACAGACGGAATTTATATGACCTTGACCTTTGAACTTTTGACCTCAAAATCAATAGAATTCTTCTTTAGGTCATAAGGAGTTGCTATGCAAAATTTCAGCGCAAAAGCACAAAGGGGTCTCGAGATATCGCGCGGAAACGAAGGCGTTACAGACGGACATAAATACGGACGGATGGACAGACAGACCCAAATTAATATAACCCCACTTTAATTGAGAGCAGTTGACAAAAGATTAAAAACTTACGTTTAGAAGACCTAATTGCGTTGTAGTCTGTAAATATATAAAGGATTTGCATGCTCATATTAAAATTTTAAAAAGTATTTTTATAATAAGCGAACTAACAAAATAATATCCTTGCTACAATATTTCAAAGTGTGTATATTAAATTTGTGTAACTGTTTCCTTAATTTTGCAACCACCCCCACCCCCCACCCCCACCCAAAAAAATTCCATTGTAAAAATATGATAAGGTAAAAAAGTAATCTTTTAGTAAATTTGGTATCCAGTATTTTCTGAGAAGATAATTTAAAAACATAAGGATATGGAAATAACGAACAGTATTCAATCTCAACGTCCATTAAACAAATATACAAAACAAGAGCAGAGCAAACACGGACCTCCGAAACATCAGAGGTGGGATCAGGTGCCATGGAATATGGAACATTTCAGGGATCCTTGGCTTGTATTTCCACTGACCATTAATTTGCCACAATAAGCATTTATCTTCATTTCAATCATTCCAATGTACCAAACTTGAGCTTCCAATGATTGCCCATTAGGTTGACAAGAATTTGTAATACTTTTTTTTCTGTCAGTGACTTTTGCTTCATGTCTCATTTAATCAATATCTGTTCCTGGTATAAGCTTCCACTGATTTTCCATTACTGTATCATACCACGGAGAATAATAATATATATTTTTCTGCAATTGACCTTGAACATGCTGAAATGACCTTGAATCTCGGTCCCGACACAACCTCATAAGCGTGTACTTTACTCTGGATCTGTTTTCAATATTTTCACTTCCAATTGTCTATCGAATTGTTTGAGTCAGTCTGTTTAACACCCCAGTAAAAATAAGTTAAGGGTCAAAAGGTCACATGCAAATAAGGCACATGAAGCCTGCGAGTTTTATAGGACTGATCACGTGACTAATCCGTATTTACATCCAAATAAATCTCTGAAAATGATACCTTATTTCTTAAATAATTTCCCCTTACCAAAATATAGCCTGGCAAACGTTGCAAGGGAAAATGATCAAGCAACCAAATGTAAAGAGACGGACACATTGATTCCTACCCCCTTCCTCCCCAATCAGCTTTCTTTGCGTATGTCAGTATATTATTATAATTGATTAGAAGGAGTTTCATTAAAACATATCTTACCAGTAGTCCTGTAAATAAATATGGAGTTATTGCCAGCTGGAAATTTCTCATCAACCGAGTTACAGTTGTGTATGTGTAATCGTTGAATTTCGGGGTCCAGTGAAAAGAAACAGAGGCAACTATTCCCCTAAACAAAAAAAAAAGATGTCAAAGATGAATCCTCATTGAGAAAAAGAAAAGTAGAAGACTAATATTGTTCAGCTTGTTCCAGTAATAAAACAATAAAAATGATTTGTGGAATATAAGAAAACATACCTGTATTCCAAATGTCTTCGGATCAGTCAAACAGAACAACTGACATTTAACAACTGTTATGTCTAGAACTGTTAAATTGGTTATAACATGCTGAAGAACTGTGTCTTGGTCATAACATCCTTAAATTTGAACAGGTGTATGTGTTTGAATATAGATATCAAGTAATAAAGGAAGAAAATGTACGCAAGTAAGAAAAAACTATATATATATATATATATATATATATATATATATATATATATATATATATATATATATATATATATATATATATATATATATATATATATATATATATATTACAATTAACTTGCGGATTTTCTAAATATTATGTTTCGACACCCTGTTTACAATTTTGGGAAATATGATTAGATTCTCCTTATTATAATGATAATAGTATAGTTACTCGTCATACAAATTGAAATTTATTTTAATGAGTAATATTTTTCAGTAGAAACTTTTTCAAACACAAAACAAACCAAGAAAATGAATCCAGTCACTTCTCTTTGTATATTGACGAGACCAGTAACTCTCAACTTTCAACTCAGACTTTTCAACAAGGGATAATTTCCCGGTTTTTGAAACCATTCCATGTCCACGACAGAATATTTGAGCGTCTAACCATTTCATTGTATAGTTTGAAATCATTTTCTCTGAAGATACTGGAAAAAGAAAATAAGTATAAGCCAAGATATCGTAAAAAGCTTCATTATGAAAACATGTACATACTTCATCCTTTGAAGAATATGCAAAATAGTGTCTTAAAAATATTCTTGGATATTCAAAGTTTCTTAAAATTTACCTTCATTAATACTTAAAAAATGTATGATGATAAAAAATATGTTCATCTTCTTCAACTCGATTCTCTATCTGAAAAAGAGGAAAGAAAAAACATTATTTGAAACTGTCATTGTGGATGAGAGTGGATCACGGGTAGGATTGTTGTCTTTGACTTTGAAATAACCCATCGTTATCGTTTTATCAACTGTTTAGCTCAATTTTCACATCGCATAGTTTCATCGTGTGAAAAGGAAGAAGCCGGTTGTAAAAGGAAGCAGCTGGTTGTAAAAGTCAGCTCTTCCCAGAGAAGTCCACTGAGAAACTTTTTCAACATTACAAATTAAACACATGCATGAAAACGAGAATTCCAAAAGTGGAAACATAAAGAAAAAAATATTTAATATATTAATTAAGCTCTTGAATGATTTAAAATTAACTTATACAGCCTTTGCTTTATACTGGAATTCTATGTATTAGTAGCTAATCAAAATAAATCATAATGATAAAAATATCACTTGGCAAATTGCATTTGGTTGACAATTTCTACAGTTATATTCTCCATGTATTTGATATTTACGGAAGACCATTTAGGACCTATCAAAAATATTTTTGAATTCGTTATAACGATTTTTAGAATTCGTTATAACGAATTTAATTTGTTATAACAGATTTATGGAATTCGTTGTAACGAATTTAATTTGTTATTACAGATTTGTTGAATTCGTTATAACCAATTCAAATATTCGTAAAAACAAATTCTTGAATTCGTTATAACGAATTCAACAAATCTGTAATAACATATTAAATTCGTTATAACGAATTCAACAAATCTGTAATAACAAATTAAATTCGTTATAACGAATTCCATGAATCTGTTATAACAAATTAAATTCGGTATAACGAATTCAATAAATCTGTTATAACAAATTAAATTCGTTATAACGAATTCTAAAAATCGTTATAATGAATTCAAAAATATTTTTTGATAGGTCCTGAATGGGCTTCCGTAGATATTTGTTTTATGCATACAAATTTTCAAAATGTTCTTTTGGTGAATATGAAAAATATTTTGAAATATTTTGAATAATCTATATATTATTCCTTACTTTTCACTTGTCAGATTTTGTCCGGATTTAAAAGACTGTGAATGTTATCCCTGTCTGTGTATATATACTGTATATACGAGGGTTGATCCAAAAGTAATGTCACAGTATCCATATCTTTTATATTTGGCGTCATATTATCAAAAACAATATACTAAAAGATGCACAAATATAAATCTAATTAACATTAAAAGTTTAATTTAATAATGTTTATTTGAATTTATTTTATAGATGTTTAAAACATAGAGCATAGGGGGTGTCGCCGCGTCACAACGGAACGTCACGTTTGAAAGTGTATTTTTTCTTAGAATGAAAAAGACAAGCACATTTAAAAGATTCAAAGAAAGCACCTAATCTCCCAGTTTCTGTAAAAGACACAATTCTCGTCATTTTCTAGTCTTTAATTGAAAATTAAACTAGAGGTACTGTGAGCAATGAGCTCACTAAATGATACCCCCCGCCTCCCATAATGTCCATGTTTTGCTATACATTGTTTTACGGTAATGTGTAAAGAGGAATAACTCGTCCCATCAAATGTTATCTAGAAGCTTCTATTTGAGTCATAGGTAAACATATAATGGCAATGTCCATGTTTTGCTATGGGAAACCTTAAATACGTGTCGAATAAAAAAGTAAAATAGGAGGTGCACAATGGCAATATGTAATAAAGATTCTGTGAAAGTTTCATTAAATTTCACTCAGTAGTATAAGAGGAGTTGCGGATAAGAGATAAAGCGTAACAGACGGACGGACGGACAGATGTACAGACGGACGGAAAATACCGATTACTATATACCCTCCCACTTTTCAAGCGGGGGGTATAATGACAGCATTGGTATGTGTGATCATAAAAATTGTTGTTTTACTCTGTTGAATTAAACAAAGGGATTGTCGAAATAGAAAACTAGAGGTACTGTGAGCAATGGGCTCACTAAATGATACCCCCCGCCTCCCATGTGTGTATAAATGGCAGTGTCCATATTTTGTTATGGGAAACCCAAAATATGTGTCTGATCAAAAAGTAAAATAGGAGGTGCACAATGGCAATATGTAATAAAGATTCTGTGAAAGTTTCATCAAATTTCATTCAGTGGTATAAGAGAAGTGCGGATAAAAGATGGGTACCCCAAAGCGTAACAGACGGACGGACGGAATTAACGATTACTATATACCCTCCCGCTTTTCAAGCGGGGGGTATAATTACTATATACCCTCCCGCTTTTCAAGCGGGGGGTATAAAAACGGCTCGATGAGTTGTGATGCATTTTTGCTTCAAAAGATGAAAATCATCACAAGCGTCAGTAACATTAATTGATATGACTTACAGGATAAAGAATGTAAATAAAAGACATCTTAATGAATGGTTTCAGCAATTTTGGGCGGGTGATTGGTTACTAAATGATTAGCAGAGGACAAGAAGACCGAAAAGTAGGATATCGGACGGAAACGTTCAATGGTGTCTGACGTTGTCAAAAAAGACAGACGTATAGAGTGGCGTGTGCATTTTTTAGTTTGTCTTATGCTACTGAGTACTGTACAAAAAAAAATTTGACAGAGGGCTTAATTATGAAAAGAGTGAGTGTATAATGGTACGAAGAACTCTTAAAGAAAGCGGAATTAGTGAAAGTGTTTGCGAATCACAAGTATTTTTTAATGAAACGAAGGGGAAACGCTTAAAAGTATAACGGTGCGTATTCGTCATATGACGTTATATTTAGGTGCGGCGACTACCATAAATGCACATTGTTTAAAATCCGATATTTTGGAAAGTATACATCATATTCCTTTGAATTTTTCAGGTCTGACATGAAATAAATAAAGCTTTTATTATGTATTATTTTGCTGCTTTACATCGATTTATAGCAATTTTATCAAAGTTGTGACATTACTTTTGGATCAACCCTCGTATTTAGATACGATAATGACTGTTTTCCTCTGTTAGCATGCTTCTGCATGTCTGCACACTTCAGTACACAGGTACGTGAGTGGGTGCATACAGCTATGTAAACCATGTACATCAGATCAACTTATTACAGGAAGAATTTCAATTGTAAAACAAAATATAATTATTTTACAACAAGTTATATTTAAATTTCAAACTAAAAAAATAAGAATACAAAATATTTGTTGCATTTATATATTAAAGTCTCTGGCGATTGTAGAATATAAAATTATTAGATAATAGAAGATGGACAAGTAAATTCGAAATATTTGATAAAGTATTCGGGGTATTTAAATGGGTGATCAATTTGAAAAACAAACTTACTTTTATCATTCAGCTTCAGAGAGAGACGAGTAATGTCTGATGTCACCTCATGATTTTTTAATGAAAACTGAATTGACATAGTCAAATATAATAAACACTAATCACAAAAAATAATGTTCAATGTGCAGCAACAGAATTTACAAATAACTTAACCTACAGAGTTGCTAGGGTATTTTTGGGGGGTCAAATTTGATGATAGACCCTAAAAAGTTTACAAATATTTACTTACAATTGTCCCTTGTTTAGTTGATATTGGAAAAAGAGCAATCAAAAAACTTCCTTCATCTGCCTGTATAGGGAAAATGTCGCTACATGTTATCAAAAATGATAGCTTACATACGTCAAAGCTTAGAAGTGCTCACAAATGAAGGATCATTTAAGATTGTACCAATATCTCACTGGATTTCCTTTTTAAGTCAAAATTACTTTTATGCTTAATAGAACGTTTCCTTTAATTCTCGTCATTGTAAGGAATTTTTGGAGTTTATAAGTGATGGGAAACAAACAAAGTAGAGATGAATGAAGCATCCTTGAAGGACAGGAAACCAAGTCTATTTAACGTGTTTAAAAGTGATTTAAAAATACTATGATAGAAAACAAGCATTTTGAAAGAATTGTATTAGCAATACTAGTCCCCTACCGACAATAAATCTGGTTAAAAAGAAATTGACTCTAAGATTTCATGACAATTGTTATTCCATCGGTCTTATTACTTTTGAATTGTTTCTTTCTGCTATGAAGCTCAAAGCAAATACCGGTAAATAGTTAAACACCATTATAATTTTCATAATCGCTAATGATTGAACAAAGCTATACATGTTTTCTGAGGAGCACTCCAGTTTTTACTTGAGATGAATCCTCTCTCTAGAGTGAAATCGGTCAAAGGTAACCTGAATTTTCAATGTTATTATTTTTTGTAGAAGGAGTAAATTTCAAAGTGAATGTAAGGGACGCAAAGAAATATATTTAGAAGGAATTATGCTAAACAATCAAACCCGAATAAATATTTTTCAAGTACCTTATACAAAATCCTATGATCGTTATGATTAAAATCAAAATGGAAACCAAAAGAAAATGTCAGGTTATATATAACGAGCTATTCAACTGATTATAACGAAAAATGAGAAAAGTATCTGGTTAAAACGAGTTATTTATAATACTCTTGTAATGAAAGGTCATCAGGTACCGTTAAATAAGGAATTTCAGGAATGCAATTATGTTTAATTTTGTGAAAAAAAAAATTGTTATTAAATGTCATATTTACAATTTTCAGAATTGAAATAATAAACCTAGATTGTAAATAAAAACATATAAACTTGTACCTTTTGTGGGACAGAGTTTTCCTCCTTCCGTAGATGCAAGATTCTGAGTCTTGATAATTATGATTCTGCAATATAAATTTTATCGCACACTCCAGAAATATTTCAATCATTTTGTCTATTCCAGAGGTTATAATTAGACATTATGAATATTAAGGCCATATATTATTATATTTTTAAAAAGTAAATTATACTTACAGTTTCTATTGATCAGTAAGATTTCTTTCTTAATGTATAATCATAAACCGTCAAGCTGAAACCTCCTTTGCTCCAGACCGTCCAATGGAATAAGTAACATGTAGATAAATACTTCTTATTATATCCTTATTACATGCGTATAAGTAGTAGCAGGTGGATCCGAGATTTTTTTTTTTAAGTGTTCAATAATTTTTATTAGTTTATTTCAAGATCTGGCTAATTTTTTGGCAAATGATTTTATTTTTGTAAATTATCAGATTGAATTTTTAATAATCTCCTCGCAACGGAGATGAAGGGGATATAAAAACGCACTAAGGTCTGTGAGAGGGTGTATGAGTGTGTCTATCTGTGTTTGTTCTTGTGTGAAAAGGAAGTGACGAAATTTGCATCGTGATCAATGTTGAATGCTGCCTTGATTTAAAATCAAGATGTTCTTTACGAGTAGAGGGGATGCTCCACTTCTCAGTGCCCTTGTGTATTGTTTAAGTTTAAAATCAGTTGTTTCATATTCAGAAAGATGCTTGTGTTTCTGATTGACAATATTAATATGGTTTTTGAAGACCATGTCTTCCAACAATCTATTGAAATCCCCATGGGTACCAATTGCGCTCCATTGTTAGCAGTCCCATTTTTATATTCAAATGAAGCAGAATTTGTGCAAAATCTTAAGCGTGAAAAGAAGAAAACCCTTGCTGTGACCTTTAACTCAACATTTAGATGTATTGACGACTGTACTGTCAATTAGCAATGGTAATTAGCATTCCTATGTCGATGCGATATATATCCTGAGATAAAAGATACCACGGCGTTTGACACATCGGATTCATACTTGGATATTTTACTTGAAAAAGTCATTAACGGTAATCATGCAACCTAGCTCTATGATAAACGTGATGACTTTAACTTTGAACTTTTCTATCGTCAACTTTTCTTACTTATGCAGCAATATACCTTCATCACCTGCATACGGAGTGTATATACATGTATCTCAGTTGATTCGATACGCAAGAGCATGTTCTACGTATGAACGATTTCTTAAACCAGGTAAATTATTGACATACAAGTTGGTGAAACAAGAACATCAGCAGTCTCGTTTAAAGTCATCATTTCATTTATCATTGAGTCAAATGCTGACTGACGTTTTTCATACTATATGTTATTGTTAGTCCATTATTTATACACTGAATTGAAGACGGATTTTTTTTCAGTTATTTTCCGAGCATGACGAGAAGCTAGGGCGGGTTTGACTGGTCAGTAAGAGATGCTCCCCCCTCCATGGCACCTGATCCCACCTCTGATGTTTTGGAAGTCCATATTTGCTCTGCTCCTGTTTTGTATTGTTTCATGGACTTTTGATCTTGAAAACTGTTCGTTATCTCCATATGTTTCACTCCATATTTTTCCATCATTAACGTTTAATTAATTCTAATAAAATACTAATTAAACAAACTATCGCTATTATTAGTACCTAGATTATAACTGGACGAATTTTTATCCTTATGTGATATAGACGAATAGAGGGTATCATTTATCCTTCTGCTACTTTTCTCGTAAGCTATGGTCGATGTGTTTGAATAAATCTTTTGATCATTTGTCATTGACCCTGTGTTCCTTTGGTGGATAGGGTCGTCTTTATTGATTGTCTCTCCTTCTGGTGCCTACAATTGAAGAAGTAGAGCAAAAGTGCTTGAATATAATTATATTTATCGAAATATAATATTACATAACAAATATCACTTTATGAAAATTAGATACGTTCTTTTATGAACAACATAAATATATGAATTCGCTATAACGAATAAATGTCGTTACATTGTTATCAGTTAATTGCCTCGTTAAAATAAGTAAGTCATCTCGTTAAAGAAAGAAAATAAACATTATAACGAGTAATTCAACGGGTTTTCAAATATCACTTTTATCCCATTAAAACTAGTTGCTTGATACCATGTAAGATACAAAAGATACCACGGGGTCTGACACATCTGTTTTTCATACTTGGATACCACGGAGACTGACACATCTGTTTCATACTTGGATATTTTACTTGAAAAAGTCATTAATGGTAATCTAACAACCGAGCGCTATGATAATAATATGACTTTAACTACTATCGTCAACTTCCCTTACTTATGCAGCGATATTTTCATTTCTAAATTTTCTCTCTGTGATATCTCTTTGAAATATAGCGGAGTTAATTTCTTGATAATTCTATCGGAATGTAAATTAGGCAGGTCAACAGGTCAGGTCCTAAGGAGGCCTAATATGCATGCAAATCTCGTGCGCATCTGTCTCTGAGTCTGACGCTAAGGAAGCCAAATATGCATGAAAATTTCGTGCGGCTGCCGTTGTGTTTGACGTCAGTGGGCGAGGACTATTGAAATTGGGATGGGAATTCTCGTGTAATTTAAATCTATGTCTGCATTTTTAAAGTCTAAATCTACAATTTTATTTCAAAATGGAATGGAAATCTAAGGAATCACTGTCTAGTTAGTAAAGTATGCCAAGGACATCAACAATAGTGGGAAACATGGGATAATTTATGCATAACGGACAGTGATTCCTTAAATATATTTTCGTCACCAGTATACGGAGTTTATATATCTCAATTAATTCGATACGCAAGAGCATGCTGTACGCATGAACAATTTCTAAAACGAGGTGAATTATTGACAAACAAATTGATGAAACAAGAATATCAGCAGTCTCGCTTAAAGTCATCATTTCGTAAGTTCTATGGTAGACACAATGACCTTGTCAGCAAATTCAATTTATCATTGAGTCAAATCCTGACCGACATTGTTCATAATTGTTAGTCCATTATCTATACACTGAATTGATGAAGGATTTTACTGTTATTTCCCAATCATGACAAGGAACACACGTCGGGTGTGATCGGTCGGCAGGGGATGCTCATTCCTCCATAGCACCTGATCCCATCTCTGATGTATTACAGGTCCGTGTTTGCTTTGCTCCTATTCCGATTGTTGTATGGACTTTTGATCTTGAATACTGTTTGTTATCTCGATATTTTTCAGCATTATAGTGAGACAATACTTTTATTATAACGAGTTCAAAGCACGACTTCACAGGATGGTAGAATGAAAAACGACCTACTGGTTCACAAAATGCTTGTCTTAATTCACTGCAGTCTTCGAACTTGCAAACATTGCGACAGCTTTGACATTTCATATCCTTTGTTACTTTTGTTAAATCTGAAAATTAGCTGGGATCATTATTCTGTTCGTGTATTTTACTTTATCTTAGTTTTACTTTAAAATCGCAGTATGTATGTATTTAAGACAGATACAGAAAAAACATGGATTTTATTAAAACCAATGAATTAAGATAATAATGACTTCCCTTTACCATCTTTGTATTCTAATTCCAATGTTGAGGACTGAATTCCAAGCCACAAAGGACCAGTAAATGAGATGTTATAATTACATGTAGTACAAAGATCTGAGGATGCTTGCTTTACACGTAAGTGTATGTCAGCTTTTAGGTAATCAGCAGACTTTGATTGTTGCACACATTCCTGCATAGCTTTATCCCATGTGTAGTTACCTACAAGAACTTTAAAAGATACATATTGATAGAGTTCATGATACTAGTTTCATCAAAGAACTGCAATTGTAATCTACTAATACGCGTTTGATCTCAGGGTTCTGTGTTTATGTCTTCTTCAAAGATCTGTATTGTTTTTAGATTTTTTTTTACCTAGATCATTGGAGTTTTTTGACTCCATCTTTTCACTCCTGCTACTTGTATTGCTGTTTTGACAATTTATAGTTTGGTTTAAAACATCAGCATAACGAACAGTGATCATTTACAAAAACATTTTGTCGAACCGCAACGTTTAAGGTAGGATTCTTCTCTGGTTTCTGACTAGATGAAACATTCAGAGTACTAGTATATTTGCTTATATGTCTTATATATTTAGGTGTAAGGGATTTAAAAGACCATATTTTTCTTTCCTCATCACAATTGTACAACTTTAAATAGAAATGGTAAACTGCGTTTGAAAACGAGCAGGGACTATATTTTTGGCGGAATGGTTGCGTATGAAAATATCTTCTTTTCCGCCTCTCAAAATTATAATAGAACAATGAATTTAATTATAATTTTTACACAATCAGAGACTTGAGGAAATTTTCAAATGTAATTTAAATTAATAATAAGGGTCTAAACTTTCAAAATATATCAAATATATACGATTTTCCAAACAAACTAGAAATGTGTTAGCTTTTAAACGCTTCCAATCAAAGTACAGATTTGAGCCAAAAATCCATAAAACGTATTTTTTTCTCTCTTAGTAAACGATCAAAACTTTTGTTTTTGTATCAGTTTGTACATTCATAAGACTACTTTATCATATGTGCAAATAAGAAAAAGCTAAATATAGGAAGCATATGAAAATAACTAATATATCCTAAAAAATTAAGAAAAACAGAGAAAATTCGGATTAGCCAATATCCAGTTTAGTTAAATTATTTATGTAAATTTGGTAATGTCATGCTATAGAGCCGATATAGTAATATCTTTTTATGCAAAAAGAGCAATCTTTAAAATTTGAAATAGAAGTAGGCATCAAATAATTGGTAACAGTACTTTTTTTATTCATAATGTCAAGGAAAAAGATGATGACCTTGACCTGACCTTGCCTCTAATATAAAACGGTCAAATTTAATCTCATCGATATCATCACTTAATGATATTGTCTTCTTGATTCTGTGAAAATTTCATTAATTTTTAAATACAAGAAATATGAGAAGAATCCTACCTTAAAGCAACGCACAAGGTTTACTCATGACAATTTCAGGTGATTGTGGTCATAACTTCTACCAGTCAGAGAGAGAACCTTGCTGGGGAGGGGGTGTATCAATGCCCTTTTGGCATAAGCTTTAAATGCAACATTACCCCAATCTAATTTCCCATGAAATGATCATAGAGATAATTATTCGTATTGTAGCCATGGTGATAGTAACATTACCTATATAACATAAACTCAATCCTCTCCCATTGACTATTTATTTATTTATTTATTTATTTATTGAACTACTGCTCCTAGTTCGGATCCGGAGTAATCCTGAGTATTTCTATCAAACCAAAAACTAGCGCACACTAGCATGAATAATATACAAATGTATAGCGTTTATGTATGAACAAGCTAATTCAGAGAAATTGTGTCCCCCGCTTAAGGGAAAAAGTAAACCATGCGCAGTTCGGGGGAGGGGGGGGGGTCGGATCCCCTTGACTGAATTTGTAGAATTATTAAATAGTACATGTATACTGAAGCAAATGAAATATGCCAATATGGATATAAAGGTTTGATTGCTTTTTCTTTATTATGTGTATAGAAGATTCTTTTTATATGGAATATTTATCACAATGTTATAACATTTGTAGTGTCCTTAGAAGAAATCCGGAGTTTCCCTCTATTCAATATTAGGGGTGCATTTTGTGCAGTGTATTCGTCTAGTGACTTTTCATCCGATATATAGGTCTTTTTAACGTCCCATTGTTCAATGTGATGTACATACAATGTATACTTAGGAACAAAGGAAAATTTATAATATATATATCCACAGTATTTTTTTTTTAAATTCTGCATTAATGAGATACAAGCAGTAAGTGCAAGGTTTTTGCTACAAGTCTCCAATATATATTTATAAATACTGAAAAAAAATCAAACATAATCGACTGAAATTTCGTTTAATAACAAGTAAATCAAAAATGTTAACACATCTTAAATATACCGGAATAAAAAAAATTATCCCAGGGTACATTACCCATTTAAAAATGACCATTGATTGACGCATTGAAGTGGTAAAACAGAAACGTTCTGAGTCATGTTTTGATCGTCAATAATAACATAATGACACGCCCATTTCTTTAGAAACGAGGAAGGAATATTCGTCGTAATGTTTTGGGGCACTACACTTTCCGCGACAAGCAACATGAGTTACACTGAAATGAAGATTTTTAAATAAGAAAAAGCTATATATAGAGTTCCCGCTTATGTAAAACACGCATTGCAACGAATTTGTACATAATTATAATTTTATCATGTTTATTGGAGTTAGCATAGCACATGTATCAGTCGAACACGTGCTTAAATGTTTATTTAGACGTGCCAATTTCATTGCTATTATTCATACCTGTTCTGATTCGATTGAAACATCTGACCGAAAGAAATGGGCGTGTCTAAAGATAGCTCAAAATTCCATACAAACAGGAAATTTTACCACTTCAATGCGCTTCATTGTAGCTCGCAACACTAGACACGATGTCGCATTGATCTGCTTAAAGCATGAAAGTGAATAGATTTGAGTCACGTGTTCAATGCTTTGTTATTCATATGAGGTCAAAGACGGGTTGAAATTTGTAAACAAGGTGCCTTTACTATAGGGACAGGTACCCGTGATTTTGCACCTTTTTGGAAAATAACAAGTGAGCGCACGACTGTTTCAATTTCTTTCATGAATGTAAGTGACTAGTATAACTCTTTACATTGACCCTATTTACTACAACTTGAAACATCTATGCGCTCATATAAAAAATGGGCTTGCAAAATGGGGGTGTGGCCTAATGTCTATGAGAAATCGATGTAAACAACGTACCCCTGTTATATTAATCAGATAAATACAGTGCAAGGAAGTGAAAATTGAAAATGAACTTAATAAACTACAATGTTTGATGGAAAGATTGAGACAAAAATATGTAGGAAATCTTCACACTTATTTTTTGTAAATTATCGGGGGGCCAAATGTGAACGTTTAAACGATTCATTCTTTTGCATTGCAACTCCCTATGGACTAAAGAAGACCCCTATTGATTTTGAGGTCAAAAGGTAAAGGTCATAAATTCGCAAATTCTCTCTGTTATAACACTTTCGTTTCCGCGCGATATCTCGAGAAACCTTTGAGCTTTTGCAATGAAATTTTACGTAACAACTCCCTGTTGCCTAAGGAAGACCCCTGTTGATTTTGAGGTCAACAGGTCAAAGTTCAAGGTCGTAAATTTATACATTCTGCCTTATTGTAACACTATCGTTTTCGGGCGATATTTCAAGAAGATTTTGAGCTTTTGCAGTGTAATTTTATGCTAAAACTCCCTTGGACCTCTCTCACCCCTCTCAAAGTGTCCCGCCCCGTTTGTTTTATTAGTATTTATTGTATTACATGTCGCTATTTTTAGCACAGAGAGTTATAACGTATAAAACAGGTTTTCCGCGGACTTTATATTCTTATTACATCTATTAGAACTGTTTAATAAAGGCTAAATTAGACACCATGCATTATGTAAAATTTTGACAATATCGAACCTGAATATCTATATACATGTATGTGACTTCATATTGGCATATAACTTTCATCAATTAAAAGCGGTTCCGTGGTCTTGTGGTATGTCTCTCACTTCTTGTGTGAAAGCTCCCGGGTTCCAATCTCGGACGTTCCATTCTCTTTTTTTCCGAAATACGTTTTCTTACTTAATGATAGTATTCAGCATGTGAAATAAAAAAAAAATATGAGGTCTGCCTTGTACAAACTCATAAAATCATCATTACAGTGTGTTAGATATTCCCTATAAAAAGAATCTTCTATACACATAATAAAGAATAAGTAATCAAATCTTCACATCTATAGTGGCATATTTTATTTGTTTCAGTATACATGTACAGATTTAATAATTCTACAAATTCAGTCAGAGGGATCCGCCCCCCCCCCTCCACCGAACTGCGCATGGTTTACTTTTTCCCCTAAGCGGGGGACACAAATTCTCTGAATTAGCTTGTTTACAGTAGTGACAGTCGAATGATTCGTACAATCAATATTCAAAAGTGACCATCTTCAGCCAAAAGTACAAGGTACTGCCAAGAAGTGAACCTCGGATAGTAGATTGTCAAATAAATAAATAAATAAATAAAAAATTGAAATAATAATTTCTGGATATTACCTTTGTTTGTACATAATGCATTCCCAAAAGACTCGCAGTCAGCCAGTGCAAGTTTCACTTCATTGAATTTTACACAAAATATCTGCACACACAAATATTCTTTATGTGTTGCATCAACTGTGAGAATATAGAAATACTCTATTCAATAATAATAGCAATATAATAGTTAGTCACTGTGGGTTCAGATAAGAATAAACTACAAAGTAAACGTTCAAACTTTTATTTAAAAAAAAAATAAAAACTTACGTTTATGAGACC